AATACACTTAAATCTATCCTCAAATCATACATTGTTTGTACTATATATATATATATATAATGATTTTGTTCGGTGTTACCGGAGAAGTCAAGGTGGCCGATACTGAAAGTTGATGCAACCTGATCTTATATGAACACTTGTATACTAAAGTATTTCTTGAAAGCAAATATATATATATAGTAAACTTGGCAATGGTGCTGACATAAGAGATGAACTAATTGTTCATGCCACTCTATCTTGTCGATTATGGACCAGCTGTTGACTATTAACCATTAATCCTTCTCATCAAACGCACTACATGCTGTGGAGAAGTCACAGTTGACAAAACTTGATGTTCATGCAAACTTTACTTATACCAACACTCGTAAACTGAACTATTTCTTGAGAGCAAATATATAGTAAACTTGGGAATGGTGCTGACATTAGAGACGATCTAATTGTTCATGCCACTCTATCTTGTGGATTACGGACCAGCTGCTGACTATTCAGCATTCATTAGGCAGCTTGATACGAGGAGTGTAGGCAGTTGCGGATGTCTTCATTATGTCGACTCGATCAGCCCTATGAAGTCAGATTATATATTATTTATGAGAAAATTGACTCGATAAAACTGTTACTATAACAGTAGTCTTGACATGATTCGATGCATGATCTCACGTTCTATTAATAATTGAAAGATACGTATAATCATTTTCGATATTTACCAAGATCTTAATCCAACAATCACTCATCATGTTATAAAATACGTGTTCACAAGCGAGTTTCGACCCGAATACACTTCTTAATTGATCGAATCTTTTCTATCTTAAGTAACGATGGGTCTCGTATAATGAAGTCGATCTAGATTTTTTTTTTTTTTTTTTTTCCAGTCTCAGTTACTGTTTAAGCGGTCGTCAATCTAAACATTGGCATGCTCAAGCTACTCTTAGGAAATATTCACCAGCTGTTGAATATTAAGCAAAACCTTTTCTTCAAGAAGACTGTCTTTTTCAAGAAGACTGTTCACTGACCATGTCAGCCAATGGACTTACTTCACATTATGCAATTTTCTAAGTTTATACAAAGTAGATGAGTGATACACCAGATCACACCTGTGCATGGAGAAGGATTCAATCAAAATTACACACCAAACTTCTAAATCCTGACATGCATGAGCTTCAACAAGATTGTTGAATATTAAGCAAAACTTTTTTCTTCAAGAATACTGTTCACTGACCCTTGAGTTCATGATGTTGAATATTCTAGATAATTTCTAGAAATTAGACCAGCAATGGATGACAAGTCACACACTATATCACACCTGTACATGGAGAAAAATCCAATCAAAACTTCTGAATTGTCTCGACCTACCTTAAATATCAACAAGCATATGAGCTGTGATGGAAACATAACGAATCAATGTTTCTTTCTGTATACAGTGAATCTAAGAAGAAGTAGGAAAAAAGAGACATTATGTAGACTAACACTACTGATCATAGTCTTGACTTCCTTTCTATTTAATTCTATAATCTTTTATTCATGTTGGAACTCTATAGGTATATATAACAAATGGTAACATTTCTATTTTTTCTTCCTTCTTCCCCTATATATGATATATTCAAGCGTGTTTTCAACGTGTTATATGTATTATTAGTATGCATGAGGTGTAAAGTCGTTGATCCATATATGGTTTCTATTCAACCACGAATATGATTTCTATTCAACCATGAATATGGTTTCTATTCAACCACGAATGAATAATCCATGTATGGATTATTATTTCTCCTTATGTGTGAAGTCATTGATTCCATTCTCACCAAATCTACATAGTCAAAGGATATCATATTCAACCCATAAATGGGTGATTTCTATATAAAAAAAGAACTTTGTGTACCACTTAAGGCTTTTTTTTCTTCGATTACAATACTATATATATATATATATATATATATATATATATATATATATATATATATATATATATATAGCACAAAATATAAAAATAATTATTAGGATAGTTTATCTAATTAACGTGCTAACTATGAATTTAAAGACATTTTCTAAGCTATTACAAAGTCCGCAAATCAAGACTTTTTCCAGCGAACTTCCGACGGTCTTCCGACGAACTCTCGAAAACCATTCTACGGACTCCCGGCAAGCTCCTAGACTTCACGATTTGATCTTGGCGAGTTCCAATCGTTGAATCTCGGATTTTGATGATGAGGTCAATTGTCATTTGTTGTCTAATCTATGTGTTGAGATAAGTGTGCAAGATTAACTACGATGAAAGTTAGACATGCAACAGGAGTTGCGCCAGAGTCAAGACAATGATCTCTTTAATAATGAGATTTTTTAGATAAATTTTACCCCATATTTAGTTTTTACTAAGAGATGTTATTTTTTTTCATACTATAATCAAAATATATTTTATAAAATTAAAAAAAAAAATAGTTGAGGTTCTTTTATCTTGATTGATTTTGGGTTATTTGGGTTGAGCTGATTTGTTTGACATGAATCGGATCAAATCGATTCAATAAAAATAAAAATACTTGATTTATTTTTTTTAAATCTTACTTTCATTTTTCGAAATTATTTTGCTACCCTTATTTCTCGTCTCTTCCACCTCCACCACCACTACCTCCTCCTCTCACATAACCATCTCCTCCCCCTTCGGTTCTATTCTACTGTTCTCTCCCTCCCCTCCTCACAGTTTACATATATTAACCATTAAACTCACTTACAAAATATATTAATTTTTATATAAAATATTAATCTATCATTAAAAATATATTAATTTTATATAAAACTATCATAAATTATCTAAAAAATTATTCCACTCAATTTAAAAAATATAAATTTTTATATAAATTATCTTTAATCCATCGTAAATAAATGAAAAATATATGTTACATATCTTATAGTAATGTGCTAATAGCTCTGACGAAGTTTGGATTGGTTTATTAGATGTAAAAAAAAGAATTTTGTATAACTAAAAGTAAACATCAACAAGTATATTTATAATTACGTTCATAATCATGCGGTGGCTTATTTGACCCGTTCCATTAATGGTTTTTAAGAGAACTATGTCAAAAGATTCTTCCCATCTCTCCCTTAGACTGCTCTATATATTCCAGCTTCAGCAGAAGCATGCATACCAACATCACCAGCTTGCATTACTGATGGCTGCAAGCATGGCTATCGACCCCTACCTCGCGGCCGCCGCCGCTCTCTGTCTTCTCCTTCACCTCCTCCTCCGTGGCTTTCTCCGCAGGTCGACCTCCCGCCTTCCCTTACCCCCGGGCCCTCGCGGCTTCCCCATCATCGGCGCGCTGCCGCTCGTCGGGGCCAAAGCGCACGCCAACCTCGCCCGCCTCGCCAAGCACTACGGCCCCATCATGTTCCTCCGGCTAGGCTCCCACGGCTGCGTCGTCGCCTCCAACGCCGACGCCGCCCGCTCCTTTCTCAAGACCCTCGACGCGCAGTTCGCCAACCGCCCCGACCCCCTCAGCGCCCGGGACGTCACCTACCAGCGCCAGGACCTGGTCATGGCCGACTACAACCCGACGTGGAAG